TCAGAATTGGGAACGTTCACCAATTATTGCACAATGCTCAGAACCATTCCTGACTTCCCTGATACCTAAGCAGACTGTATGCATCTGAAGCAAGATCTGGACAGTGCAGTGCAGGTGTCCCCTGCAGTCATCTCCCTCCAAAACAGGTGTACTGTTTTGGATACTGTTGGGGGAGATGGCTCACCAGGGGAAGGCAGCAGTAGCCAGATTCATGGCACCTTGGCTGGCTCTGCTGTACAGAAGGGCGGGAAAAAGAGTGGAAGGGCTATAGTCATAGGGGATTCAATTGTAAGGGGAGTAGATAGGCGGTTCTGTGGTCGAAAACGAGACTCCCGAATGGTATGTTGCCTCCCAGATGCACGGGTCAGGGATGTCTCAGATCGACTGCAGGACATTCTGAAGGGGGAGGGTGAACAGCCAGCTGCCGTGGTGCATATAGGCACCAATGACATAGGTAAAAAACAGGATGAGGTCCTACAAGCAGAATTTAGGGAGTTAGGAGCCAAGGTAAAAAGTAGGACCTCAAAGGTAGTAATCTCAGGATTGCTACCAGTGCCACGTGCTAGTCAGAGTAGAAATGAAAGAATATGCAGGATAAATGAGTGGCTGGAGAGATGGTGCAGGAGGTAGGGGTTCAGATTTTTGGGACACTGGGACCGGTGCTGGGGGACGTTGGACTATTACAAATCGGACGGTCTACACCTAGGCAGGACTGGAACCAATGTCCTAGGGGGTGCTTTTGCTAACGCCGTTGGGAAGGGTTTAAACTAATGTGGCAGGGGGATGGGAACCAAATGAGGAGGTTAGTGGATATTAAGGAGGTAGTAAGTAAAGCCTGTAAGGAACTAGATAATGAAGTCAGTGTGACTAAGGGGAAGAGTAGGCAGAGACCAGATGATGAACGCAAAAGGACAGGTGGTCTGAGGTGCATTTGTTTTAATGCAAGAAGTGTAGTAGGTAAGGCAAATGGACTTGGGGCTTGGATTAGTACCTGGGAGTATGATGTTAATGCTATTACTGAGACTTGGTTGAGGGAAGGGCAAGATTGACAACTAAATATCCTAGGATATAGATGCTTCAGGCAGGATAGAGTGGGAGGTAAAAGGGGTGGGGGAGTTGCATTACTGGTAAAAGAGGATATCACAGCTGTGCTGAAGGAGGGCACTATGGAGGTCACGAGCAGTGAGGCAATATGGGCAGAGGTCAGAAATAGGAAGGGTGCGGTAACAATGTTGGGACTGTACTACAGGCCTCCCAGCAGCGAGTGTGAGATAGAGGTACAAATATGTCGACAGATTATGGAAAGATGTAGGAGCAACAGGGTGGTGGTGATGGGAGATTTTAATTTTCCAACATTGACTGGGATTCACTTAGTGTTAGGGGTTTAGATGGAGCAGAATTTGTATGAAGCAGCCAGGAGGGTTTTATAGAGCAGTATGTAAATAGTCCAACACGGGAAGGGGCCATACTGGACCTGGTGTTGGGGAATGAGCCCAGACAGGTGGTTGAAGTTTCAGTAGGGGATTACTTTGGGAATAGTGATCACAATTCCGTAAGTTTCAGAATTCTGATGGACAAAGACAAGAGTGGTCCTAAAGGAAGAGTGCTAAATTGGGGGAAGGCTAACTATAGCAAAATTCGGCAGTAACTGGGGAATGTGGATTGGGAGCAGCTGTTTGAGGGTAAATCCACATTTGCTATGTGGGAGGCTGTTAAAGAGAGGTTGATTAGAGCGCAGGGCAGACATGTACCTGTGAAAATGAGGGATAGAATGGGCAAGGTTAGGGAACCATGGATGACAGGTGAAATTGTGAGACTAGCGAAGAGGAAAAAGGAAGCATACATAAGGTCTAGGCGACTGAAAACAATCGAAGCTTTGGAAGAATATCGGGAAAGTAGGACCAATCTGAAACGAGGAATTAAGAGGGCTAAAAGGGGTCATGAAATATCTTTAGCAAACAGGGTTAAGGAAAATCCCATGCCTTTTATTCGTACATAAGAAGCAAGAGGGTAACTAGAGAAAGGGTTGGCCCACTCAAGGACAAAAGAGGGAAGTTATGTGAGGAGTCAGAGAAAATGAGTGAGATTCTTAATGAGTACTTTGCATCGGTATTCACCGAGGAGAGGGACATGACGGATGTTGAGGTTAGGGACAGATGTTTGACTCTCTAGGTCAAGTTGGCATAAGGAGGGGGGATGTGTTGGGTATTCTAAAAGGCATTAGGGTGGACAAGTCCCCAGGTCTGGATGGGATCTATCGCAGGTTACTGAGGGAAGCGAGAGAGGAAATAGCTGGGGCCTTAACAGATATCTTTGCAGCATCCGTGAGCATGGGAGAGTTCCTGGAGGACTGGAGAATTGCTACTGTTGTTTCCTTGTTTAAGAAGGGTAGCAAGGATAATCCAGGTAATTACAGACCGGTGAGCCTGACGTCAGTGGTGGGGAAGCTGCTGGAGAAGATACTGACGGATAGGATCTATTTACATTTGGAAGAAAATGGGCTTATTAGTGATAGGCAGCATGATTTTGTGCAGGGAAGGTCATGTCTTACCAGTCTTACCAACTTGATAGAATTCTTTGAGGAAGTGACAAAGTTGATAGATGAGGGAAGGGCTGTAGATGTCATATACATGGACTTCAGTAAGGCGTTTGATAAGGTTCCCCATGGTAGGCTGATGGAGAAAGTGAATTCGCATGGGGTCCAGGGTGTACTAGCTAGATGGATAGAGAACTGGCTGGGCAACAGGAGACAGAGAGTTGTAGTGGAAGGGATTTTCTCAAAATGGAGAACTGTGACCAGTGGTGTTCCACAGGGATCCATGTTGGGACCACTGTTGTTTGTGATATACATAAATGATCTGGAGGAAGGTATAGATGGTCTGATTAGCAACTTTGCAGATGACACTAAGATTGGTGGAGTAGCAGATAGTGAAGGGGACTGTTCGAGAATGCAGCAGAATATAGATAGATTGGAGAGTTGGGCGGAGAAATGGCAGATGGAGTTCAATCCAGGCAAATGCGAGGTGATGCATTTTGGAAGATCCAATTCAAGAGCGAACTATATGGGAAATGGAAAAGCCCTGGGGAAAACTGATGCACAGAGAGATCTGGGTGTTCAGGTCCATTGTACCCTGAAGGTGGCAACGCAGGTCGATAGAGTAATCAAGAAGGCGTACAGCATGCTTTTATTCATCAGACGGGGTATTGAGTACAAGAGTTGGCAGGTCACGTTACAGTTGTATAGGACTTTGGTTCGACCACATTTGGAATACTGCGTACAGTTCTGGTCACCACTTTAACAAAAGGATGTGGATGCTTTGGAGAGGGTGCAGAGGAGGTTCACAAGGATGTTGCCTGGTATGGAGGGCGCTAGCTATGAAGAGAGGTTGAGTAGATTAGGATCATTTACATTAGAAAGTCGGAGGTTGAGGGGGGACCTGATTGAGATCTACAAAATCATGAGAGGTATAGACAGGGTGGATAGCAAGAAGCTTTTTCCCAGAGTGGGGGACTCAATTACTAGGGATCACGATTTCAAGGTGAGAGGGGAAAAGTTTAAGGGAGATATGCATGGAAAGTTCTTTATGCAGAGGGTGGTGGGTGCCTGGTACGCGTTGCCAGTGGAGGTGGTAGAGGCGGGCACGATAGCGTCATTTAAGATGTATCTAGACAGATACATAAATGGGCAGGGAGCAAAGGGATACAGATCCTTGGAAAATAGGCGACAGGTTTAGATCGAGAATCTGAATCGGCGCATGCTTGGAGGGCCAAAGGGCCTGTTCCTGTGCTGTAATTTTCTTTGTTCTTTGTTCTTTGAAATGCAAGTTATGATTTTTAAAATTCCCTTAATTCTAGAACTCTCCCAATGAACTGGAATGTGTAAATCTAATAAGATATGAGGGAAAGAGATAACTGAGAATAATTTTTTGAAGGCATGACAGGACGAAAACAGGATGTTTCCCCGGCTGGTGACTCCAAACACATACTACTTATTATCTCAGTAAAAGGGGCAGGCTAGTTAAGACTGAGATAAGGAGAAATTTCTTTACTCAGGTGCTAGTGAATCTTTGGAATTCTCCATGTCAGAGGGCTATGGAAGTTCATTCTTTAAACATGTTCAGTTCAGAAATTGATGGGTTTCTGGAGATGAATGACAATAAAGAATACGAAAATAGTGCAAAAAAATGGCATTGAGGAATTGATCAGCCATGATATGAAATGGGCTGAATGGGCTATTCCTCTTCCTATGTTTCCTTTATCACTTGTTGTGAAAATGCTGACTATTATTACTAAGGGAGCTTTTAAATGGCTTAAAAAAAAAAGTGTGACCAGAGTCAGCATGGTTGTATGAAAGGAAATACATTATTGACAAATATGTTACTTTAAGACTGTGTCTTTTTATTTGTCTGTGTTTTCGATTGTGGACTGAAATGGGACTAATTGTGGATTGAAAAATAAAAGGTTGTGGAAAGTCTTACTGCAAGTTTTAAAACAGCAAGTTACCTGACACCCATTGTAAGTGCTGTTTCCACTGGTGTTTTGTTCAAGTAGTGGTGGAGGTTACTACAGATGAAATGGAGGCAGGGGATGTGTATAAAGAGAGATTCGCCAGCAAATGTAGCTGACTGGTCTGTGAAAAGATGACTAGTTATAGAGTCATAGAAATGTACAGCATGGAAACAGACCCTTCGGTCAAACTCATCCATCCCAAGTTGTCGATGACAAAAGCCTTCTGGCCGCTAACAACTATGCCATTGGCTCCTAGGTGTCTGAACCGCTTGTAACCAGTCAGGAACGACCAGTCCTCTTGATCTTTGCAATCCAAGACTGCCCCTCCAATCTGTGACGTTAGGTATATTTATTTTTGACCTGTAGAAAGATGACAGATTGTGTTAGTTAGAGATCCTGGAAAAGGTTATATCTGTAACCTTGTACCAAATGTAATTGCTCTTAGACAGTTTCAATCACACGTCAGTTCATAAATCCCCTTTGGTCAACAGAATGGCTCGAGTGAGAAACGGGAAGTGCGTCAGTTCCAGTTCATGGCTTGGCCAGACCATGGTGTTCCAGAATACCCTACACCAATATTGGCATTCCTAAGGAGAGTTAAAGCATGCAATCCCCCAGATGCCGGTCCTATGGTGGTTCACTGCAGGTACGTGGAATTGAAATGTAGCAAACTTTGTTTCAACTGGCATCTTAAGAACTGGCACTCTCAATAAACTGGCAAAAATTCTCCACCTCAAACACCACAATGTTTGCTGTATTTTTCTGTCCAGTTGTTTTAGTGCTTTAATATATTTACCTCAATGTAATAAAGTTGTTGTTCAATCAAATAGCCACATGAAATGTCAACAGTTGATTCAATTTCAAGTCAATTTCTCCTCAGATACTGTGATCTACTGCGATGTCCAAGTAGTCAGTTGAGAGTGCTAGAATACAAAAGCAGAGATGCACTGATGAGGCTGTATAAGGCTCTGGTCAGACCGCATTTGGAATATTGTGAGCAGTTTTGAGCCCCATATCTAAGGAAGGATGTGCTGGCATTGGAAGGTGTCCAGAGGAGGTCGACAAGAATGATCCCAGGGAAGAAGAGATTGAGGACTCTGGGTCTGTAGTTGATGGAGTTTAGAAGGATGAGGGGAATGTGATTGGAACTTACAGAATACTGACAGGCCTGAATAGAGTGGACAGCGAGAAGATGTTTCCAATACTAGGAGAGACTAAGACCCGAAGGCACAGCCTCAGAAGTTCATAGAGTCCCTATAGTATGGAAGGAGGCCACCTGCACGAACTCCCCCAAAGAGTGTGCCACCCAGCGCCTTACCTTATCTCTGTAACGCCACATTTACCATGGTTAATCCATCTAGCCTGTGCCTTCCTGGACACTTTGGACAACTTATCATGGCCAGTCTACCTAACCTGCACATCTTTGGACTGTGGTGCAAACCGGAGCACCCAGAGGGAACTCACACAGACAGCCACCCAAGGCTGGAATCAGACCCAGGTCCCTAGCGCTCTGAGGCAGCAGTACTAACCACTGAGGCACCATTCCGCCTTCACTCAGATTGAAGGGACAACCCTTTAGACTTGAGATGAGGAGGAATTTCTTCATCCAGAGGGTGGTTAGTCTGTGGAGCTCATATGTAATTCATATATATATACACGTATCAGTCATGATCGAATGGCAATGCAGAATCGATGGGCCAAATACCTTAATTCTGCTCCTATATCATAGGGTCTTATGGTCCCTGTATTAAAACAAAGGACATACATTTGTATTTTTTAAATTTACTCAAAAAATGGGCAATTCTGCAAGATTGCATTAATTACCCATTCCTGTTGTTCCTTGGGAAGATGGTAGTGGACCACCTTTTAAAGTCTCCGTGTGAAGATATTCTTAGATAAGGAATTCCAGGATATTGCTTCAATGGTGCTGTGGCCAAGCAATAATACTGTTCTTCACACCGCTGTGCTATTGTCTGTTATTTTGTGGTGGTTGGGAGGTGTAGTGTTGTGCTTAAAAATATCTTCAAAACCAGACCATTAAAGGTCAATGAGCAATTGAAGGAAAATGGAAAAGAACATGCAAAACAGGCCTAATGCAAAAACAGCCTGTTTTGACTGGGGAAACTGCTTGACCTTGAGTGTAAGTGGTAACCAGCCGTTTGTGCCGTCTACATAGGGGCATTTGGACTTGTTTTTCACCTACTTTTGAGGGCTGGAAAAGTACTGCAGTCATTATAAAATGGAGATTCAGCATGTAAACTTAGATTCAGAATATTATTATTAATGAGATTGGGTTCATGAGACCAGGGCCATGGACTTTTCACCGTCAATCTGGGGTTTGTGAGACTGTTGCAATGGAATCTGAGAAGCAGCTCTGAGTGCCATTGTTTCCAAAGTTGCTGATGGATAGAAGGCAGTGTGAGACTCACTTGTTTGTGTGTGTGTATATATTATGTAGTTTAAGCTAATAGATTCACTCATTAATTTGCATTTGTCTCTGATATATATTAAGTAGATTAAGCTAATTAATTTGCTTCATATTTAAGTGCAGGTGTCTTCTTGTATTTATTTTGATCAGTCCTTAAAGAACTCATTAGGTACTTTCAGCTTAGCAATACAAAGGTGCTATCAAAGAGTAAACCAGTTAAAACAGTATGCCAGACTCTTGACTGATCTAGCAGATATGACAATTATACAGCTGATGCAATTGAATTTCTGGTCACTGGTAACCCAGGAATGTTGATAGCTGGGGATTTTTGCAATAATGCCATTGAATGTTAAAGACAGATGATTAGACTCCTATTCTGATGGTCATTCCCTGGTTCTTGCTGTACAGAGATATTATTTTCCATTTCAATCAAGCCAAGGCCTAATTGTGTCTCAACCTTGCTGTATGGACTGCTTTGTTACCTGAGGAATTACAAATGTGGCTGAGATATCACATTTCTGATATAATTTATAAATAATGCTGAAAATGGATGTGCTTCAGATCAGTCAGGATAAAGTCTTACTTTTTGTGCAACGTATGATTTCAGTTGAAGTAATCTCCAGTAAAGATGACTTAGAACAACTGTATAGTATGTTGGTGAGAATACAATTTGGAGTATTTTGCATAGCTTTGGTCCCCATTTCTGTGGAAGGAGATACATGCCTTTGAGGGATTGCAGTGGATATCCACCAGACTAATCTCTGTGATGCCAGGTAATTCTACCGAGGAGAGATTGAGTTAACTGGACCTATATTCAAAAGTGAGAGGTAATCTCATTGAAACTTGGGAAATTCTTAAAGAGTGTGACAAGGTGCATGTGTTTTCTGGCTCGTGAGTCCAGAACCCAAGGGGCATAGTCTATGAATAAGGAATAGGCCATTTAAATATGAGGTGAGGAAGAATCTCTTCATTCAGAGGGTGATGAATCTTTGGAACTCTGTGCACCAGAGGGCTGGGAAAGATCAATCATTGAGGGGAGAGGTGATGGCCTCATGGTATTATCGCTAGACTGTTAATTTAGAGACCCAGATAATGTTCTGGGTACCTGGGTTCAAATCCTGCCACGGCAGATGGTTGAGTTTGAATTCAATAAATATCTGGAATTAAGAATCTAACAATGACCATGAATCCATTGTTGATTGTCAGGAAAAACCCATCTGGTTCACTAATGTCCTTTAGGGAAGGAAACTGCCATTCTTAGCTGGCCTGGCCTACATGTGACTCCAGACCCACAGCAATGTGGTTGACTCTTAACTGCTTGCTGGGCAATTAGGGATGGGCAACAAATGCTGCCTAGCCAGCGACGCCCCTCATCCTGTGAATGAATACAGTAAAATGTTCAGTCAAGAGCTACCTGGAGACTCACAACATCAATATGTAGGATATAATGCAGGAAAACATTGAGGTAGCCATGATCTGATTGAAAGACATAGTAGGCTCAACAGGCTGAATGTCCTACTGCCATTGTTATGTTCTATGTTCAGCTGCCAGAGAGTTTTCTCCCGAGCCCCATTGACTTCAGTTTTACTAGGGCTCCTTGGTGCCACACTCATTTTAATGCTGCCTTGATATCAAAGGCAGTCACTCTGCTTTGTTTTTAGAATTGCAAAATTTGTTTGTCCATGTTTGAACCAAGGCTATAATAAGGTCTGGAGCTGAGTGGTTCTGATGGAACACAATCTGAAAATTAGTGAACATGTTATTGATGAGTCAGTGACAATTGATAGCACCATGGACAACTTCTTGCATAACTTTGTTTCTGGGTTGGTAGTAGGTTGAGTCAGATTTCTGGACAAAACACAATCTGTGAAGTTTTGCACAGATATGGTATATGGTAGTGTTATTGCTGTTCTGCATTAGCTTGGTTAGAGGTTTGACTAATGGTGGAGCAAAGGTCTTCGCTTGATACAGAAAATGCTGTTGGGGCCCTGTAACTTTTACTGCATCCACCTGCAGTCAGCTATTGCTTAATGTTAGGTGGCATGAATTACAGTAAATTATAGTATTTCCAATGTGTGCTGGATCTCCGAAATCTCTTCATGTCCAATCAAAGAATTGTAGTCAGAGACTAGTGCAAACCCTGTGTGACTCTTTGGTAAACCTTGCCTCTCTTAATCAAGCTATACTTCAGGTACTTGAGTGCAACGTTTAGCTGGTGCAGTATCGAGTGAGCGCTGTATTATTGGAGATGAAGTCTATCAAATGAGACATTAAACTGAGGACCCTCTGCCGATTTGAGCAGATTAATGGCACTATTTCAAGAGCAGGTGAATTATCCTAGGTGTGCTGGCTAATTGGAATTCCTCAACCAAATTGGATAGACACGGGACTGGCACTAGGGAGCCATTACAAGCACTTGCATGGAAATGGTTATGGACAAAACAACTGCAATCTGCTCAATAAGGCCCCTGTTCACCAACTCTTTCCTTGCTATCAATCTGGAGTCACACCAATTTTCAACCTAAAAATGAGCTCACTGTGGGGAAAAGTGTGGAAAGCACTATACGAAAGCCATCATGCACAGCAAGGTGGCACAAAACATACCATGATAAATTACCAGAACTTTATTTTGGTATGCGGATTGAAATAGAAGTTACCTTGCCTTATGAAAACTCCAACATAAACAAGCAGATGAGTCCAATTTAACATCTCAGTCGAAAGCACATAACATTGCAGTGCTCCTTCATGACTGGACTAAAGAGTCAGCCTAGATTATGTGCTGAAGTCCTCTGACCTTCTTAGAGGTTACAATGTTGCCAGTGAGCCAAGAAGCTTGACACTTAAAGCACTGTTGCTGTTTTCTAAAATGTTTTCAGAGTTTGAACTTATTTCAAGGAATTAGATCAACCATTCTTGCCATAAATGATTTAATATTTCATGATGAATGTGCCTTCTCTTCTGCGCAGTGCTGGCGTGGGTCGAACTGGCTGCTTTATTGTGATCGATGCCATGCTAGAACGGATTAAACATGAGAAGACAGTCGATATCTATGGTCATGTCACCTGCATGAGAGCACAGCGAAATTACATGGTACAAACAGAAGATCAGTATATCTTCATTCATGAGGCCCTCCTCGAGGCAGCAACATGTGGAAACACAGAAGTTCCAGCAAGAAATCTTTTTGCCCATATACAGAAACTTGGCCAAGTTCCACCAGCAGAGACAGTCTCAGCCATGGAGCTGGAATTCAAGGTCAGTGCTACAACTAACGTATAGGCTTTATTCATCGGCATAACACGTGATGTGATCACTTTAATTGATCATTCAACTGGTAATGACAGAAACTATTAAAACACATTGGAAATATTAAATGTGTAATATTTCCTAATTGATGCTTCCCCTCATTTCACTTTGAGTGCTTGAACAAAATCTAGCCTGGCGTTGATTCATTCAGTGATTATTTCTTCCCTCCACCCTTTCTCCGCATAGCTCAGTGATAACATGACTGAGAACAACAATGTTGAATTCTGGAACCTACATCCTACGCACTACCACACTCGTCTGCCCTGAACATGTTATGTTGCATTATATTGTGAAGAAGAAAACAAATGTTGTCTTGACATCATAGAAATATCAGTGCAGGAATTACTATTTAACACCTCAGTTCTCTATCAGAACTCAGGCAGCACAGTGGCTCAGTGATTAGCACTGCAGCCTCACAGCTCCAGGGGCCTGGGTTCAATTCCAGCCTCCGGTGACTGTGTGGGGTTTGCACGTTCTTCCCGTGTCCACATGGGTTTCAGCCAGGTGCTCCAATTTCCTCCAAGAGTCCAAAGATGTGCAGATTAAGTGTTTTGGCCATGCTAACTTGTCTGTCGTGTCCAGGAATGTGTAGGCTAGGTGGATTAGCCATGGTAAATAAGGGACAGGGTGGATGATGTGTTCTTTGGAGGGTCAATGCAGACTCAATGGGCCAAATGGCCTCTTCCCACCTTATTGGGCTTCTATATTCCTAGAATTGTCTATCTTTATTGTATTTCTGTCATTACTTTTAATCTTCAAATATTTATCTAACTTCCCTTGAATCATAATAATCGACTTTGCATGTGGACCTGGCAATGCATTCCATATTCTACTGAATCTTTTCATGAAAAGTGACTAACCTCACCTTTCTGTAGCTTATACAGATCCCATATTTGTGCTGTCCCAGTTAGTAATTTGTATTAATCTTGCACAACCTTACATCTATTCAAAATGCATTTGCGTTGTGAAAGATTCCCATTCTTTGTTTTTCTTCACTGAAATACAGTTATAATTTTTCAACTTTGGCAAATCTGAAAGTCCTCTTGAATTTGTGTTGAGCAATTATTTGTGCTGTGATGCCCAAAGTAAAGGCTTCATGCGAACTACTGCAGTCTGAATGTAAAAGTGACAAGGATCATTAATGATGGTTTTCTGGAACACTCTTCTTGAGCATTCATAAATGGTCTTTATATGAAGGCTCAATTACATCCAGTCGTCTACAGCCAATTTAATACAAAAACAAAATACTGTAAGAATTTTCTCAATGTAGAAGTGATTACAGCTAGAGAAATGTCTAGAAGTAACTAAATTTGAAAATCAAATATAAATCATTTGGACAGGGTTGAAAAATGCTATTTTTGGTTCTCACAATATATTTCAAAAGTATCTTCTTCTAGGCATTTCAGCATATTTGGTCCTTTTTGAAAAAATATTTTGAAGCATTTCACTGCATAAGTAACTGCCAATAAATGTAACATGAAATAGCACAGCTAAGGGAGATAAAGAGGGTGAATCTAAACAGGAGGTTTCAGTTCAGATTTCAAGTTCAATTTCAGTTTCAATTCAATTCACTTGTTAAAAATTGTATACAAGTTGTTAATAAAGATTAATAATACTGTAATGAAAACTTAGAGCAATGTAAAGAGTAGGAATAATGTTTCCTTGATCAAGTGTTGAGAAAAGAGTTGAAGAATACTTATTCAAGACCGGTGTTTTATTTAGAAAATTGTACATTACTGTGTTTTATAATTCTCCCTTCTGTATATAAGGAAGACCAAGAAGTGGAAAAGCTATTAAACTGCCAATCAATGATACTTCAGTGAAACTACATTTTGAAAAATTGCTATATTCAGTGCGTCAAGAATCTTTGAGAGCCTAGAGGAAAAAAAGCCTCAATGCTTTTCAGAAATTGATTCATAATTGTTTTGTGTTTTATGCTGTTTAAGTATGAAGCATTCCCATTAATGAAATTGCAGAATGGGTGTGCAATTCACAATATCAATATAGAAAAATGGGAGTAGGTTGTGGGAGGAAAAATGAATTGCACATGCCCCTTGGAAAATAACTATCTACATTCGGTTAGAGGGCTGGCAAATACACAAAACATGAAAGTAGTGACACAGGTTATTGAGGGCATATTTTACAAAAATAATTTCTAGAGGAAGAGAATCGAAAAACAGGGAAGCTATATTTTCTGAAGAAGGGTCTAGACCTGAAACGTCAGCTTTCCTGCTCCTCTGATGCTGCTTGGCCTGCTGTGTTCATCCAGCTCTAACATTGTTGTCTCAGATTCTCCAGCATCGCAGTTCCTACTATCTCTGAAGCTATATTAAACTTGTTGAGAATTTCACTTAGGACACACTTGGACTACTTTTTTTCATCCATGGCATGTGAGTGTTGCTGGCTGGATCAGCATTTATTGCCCATCCCTAATTGCCCTTGAGAAAGTGCTGGTAACCTGCATTGTTGAACCGCTGTAGTCCAATTGATATAAATAGTTGAGGAGGAAGTTCCAAGATTTTGACCCAGTCGCAGTGAAGAAATAGCAATGTATTTCCAAGTTAGGATGGTCTGTGACTTGGAGGGGACCTTGCATGTGCTATTTTTCCCATGTATCTGCTGCCCTTTTAGATTGTTGTGGTCCTGGGTCTAGAGTCCAAATCTAATCTCATATTATAAAAATAGAGGCTCGGCAGAAGGTACAGCAATGCTTACTGATATACTACCAGAAATGAGATGTTAAATCTTTCAACAAATATGGAAAGGCTGATATTGTATGTCAGGAAAAGAAAAGGCCGAGGACTGAGCTGAAGTGGATGGTTTAAGATAATGCCAACGTTTTATTGTATAGGCACAGAGTAACCACGGTGAGGTGCTGGAGGACTGGAAGGTGGCTAATGTTATCCCTTTATTTAAGAAAGTTCCCAGGCTTCTCCTTACAGCCTGTAGACTTGTGAGCCTGACATTTGTGGTGGGTAAGTTGTTGGAGGTGATTCTAAAAGATAGGATTTGCATTTGGAGAGGGAAGGACTGATTAGGGATTGTCAGCATGGTTTTATGCAAGGGAAATCGTGTCTCAAACTTGATTGAGTTTTTTAAAGAAAGAAACCAAAAAGATTAATGATGAT